ACCCATTCAACCAAAACAGGAGTCAAGTCCGCCCTCAAACACGGCGGAGCCATCGGTCCCGGTCAAGGCTTCATCGGGGCTGTCCACGGCAGCTTCAGTCACGGCCCCGCATACAATATGTTCCGATAAACCGTCGTCTACCCCAAAGCCCGAACCGGTAGCCTCGGTCCCTGCTCCAGGTCCCCCGAGTGCCTCTCCTGCCTTGGCTTCGAGCCCAACACCGAGCTTTTCAAGTTCGGCATCCCGGCCTCCCTATGTGCCGCAGTTCTCGGCTGCAACGCAGATGATACTTAATCGGATTAAGAGCCAACCAGGAAGCCTTTCTGCAGCACTAGCAACAGCTTCTTCTCTAGCCAAGCCCCTCGAGAAGCCCAGCACCGACGAGTCTAAGAATCACCCGGCTATGAACCCGAATCCGTCTCTGACGATGACGATGCCCGCACCCGCTCCCGCTCCCGCTCCCAAGTCTACCACATTTTCCAAAACCGCCAATACAGTGAAGATGCCCAGCGATAGCGCCTTCCAGTTGCGCACTCCTGTACCCAGGAAGTCTGGTCCGGTAGGACCCCGGAAGTCTGGTCCCGTTGGAGCCGTCAAGGCCGCACCCCCGAAGGCGAAGGGAAAGGCCGCCCGGGGCGCCAAGCGGAAGCGAGGAGGCAAGACCGGCGACGGGGACTCGTCGAGCCTGAGCGACCTCTCCGACAGCGACGTCGAACCCCCGAGCAAGATCCCGTCGGCGGCGGCGGCGGCAGGCCACGCACCGTCGCCGGTACTCACTATGACGAAGTCCGGGCGGCAGGTGCAGAAGCCGACGCAGTACAACCCGGCGCTGGCGGCGGCGGCGGGGGGCTCGCAGCAGAAGCGCAAGTACTACGGCAAGCGCACGCCGGAGCAGGCGCTGTGCAAGGTGTGCACGCGCGGGCGCAGCGTGCCGCGCAACGACATCGTCTTCTGCGACGGCTGCAACCTGTGCTGGCACCAGCGCTGCCACGACCCGCCCATCGACGACGGCTACGTTAGCGACGAGTCGCGCTCGTGGTTCTGCGGCGCCTGCGCCGCCAAGCGCGAGAGGGACTTCTTCTCCTCCTCCTCCTCCTCCTCCGTCGCCGCCGCCGCCGCCAAGGACCGCTCCCTGTTCAAGAACAACGGCGGCGGCGGCTTCAGCTGGGCTGGCAAGCCGGCCTCCGAGGTGAGTACTTTCTTCTTCTTCTTCCAACACCACACCACACGCCTACTACATACTAGGTATCTATCTGTACCGTATGTACTTTATATAAGGTAGTCCCGGCTTTCGCGATGCTAAGCGCAAGCTATGTCTAGAAATGGGAGTACCTGTCCAAACTCTCGCACGCTCAGCTCGTCAGCATCGTCATGTTCAGCACCAACCTATACCCGGACCTGCCGGTCTTCCCGTCGCCGAAACCGAGTACTAGCGGGTACGGGCCCTCTTCCAACAGCAGCCACCACCACCCCTCCTCCAAAATGCCCTTGTCCTCCTCCTCCTCCACCTCGGCGGCGTGGGAGGGATCCTCGTCCGCCAAGCGAAAGGGCAACACCGCCGCCACCACCACCACCACCACCACCATCGAAGTAGTACAGCAGCAGCAGCAGCAGCAGGCAGACCGCGAGTCCTCCGCCGACTCGGTGCCCCCGGCGTGGCCCAAGGTCGGCCGCGGCGCCCTGGCCGGGCTGGTCCTCGACGAGGCCGACCTGCGCGACGACAACGACTACGAGGCCTTCAGCGTCACCACCTACGACAAGAAGGGAAACAAGATCTGGGAGAACGGCATGCCGGTTTGAAGCTGCTACCGGTCGTCGCGGTGGGTGGGTAGGAAAGGAAGGAAAATGCGTTGGTTGGTTGGGTGGCAGAGGCGTTCGGGGCGCAAGCAAGCAAGGTTAACCAAACTACCTACTTACTGGCTGGCGCAGCACTCGGCCGTTGGGTTGGTTCGGCGGGCATGAGGAGACGGGGGCTTCATTGTATGTAATCCGCGCGGCCCGTGGATGGGCCTATACAGAACAGAGGCTACTCGGTACTTTATGTATCAGATAATGGTTTCGCTCTAGTGTCGCCGGCGCCTCCGTTGACTGTCTGTCGGCAGGGTTCCTTGCGTCTGTCTACCTGGGCCTTCAGACCTGCGCTGTGGGGGCGGCTCCCGCTCGGCCTTACTACTAGTAATAGTTCCTGGGCATACGAATAAGAGTTTCGTTATAGAAGACGGTGGGTTCTGAGCTGCATGCAGAGAGAGGAACGAGCGGGTGTTGATCAGGTGGGTGGTTCCTCTTGCGTCGCCCTCTGTGCCACCAACTTCACTTCGAACTACATACAGGTAACGTACTGACTTACTTAGGCAGGGTTGATTGAACACATGTCACCCAGTTAAACCACCTGTTTGTTTGTTGCCCCTGCGCGGGGGATACGGTACTCGCATGTCCGAAGGGGACGTTGCGGCGATAGCACCTGTATTCGTCGGGAAATCCCTATTCGTTTCGTTCGTACGCCGACGCGACGGGCATACATGCGTACATAAAGTACATAAAGCACATAAAGCACATACACCGGGAACCACCCCCCTCCCGCGCCGCGCGTCATTCGTCCTCGAGGGCGGGCAGGATGAAATAAATAACCATCAGATCCTGAAGATGACGCACCACGTCTGCTTCCTGGGTCACGCGATGCCAGACAGCGAGCCAACAAAGGTAGTAGAAGGTCGCGGGAAGGGGTTTTATCGGGGTCACAGTCGGCGGCGTCTTGGGCGAGGCTTAATTGCCAGTCAATACGGAGATGTGCAGTCGCGCGATGCTAGCTGTCTGATCGGGGTGAGCTGGGGAAGGGGGGAGGGAGGGAGGTTGGAGCGATAAGTCACTGGTTCTCGAACGGTGGAGTTGGAACCGACATTCAACGGGTGTGTCTGGGAAGAAACTTCGCTTGGATTCTAAAGTCTGGCTCGCATGCCAGCATCGCAGCCCAAGAATCTTGTCGGCTTCTGGTCTATGAAGAAAACTTGGATTGTCGCTATACAAGAAGATTACAAGCTGGCCTTCTCTCGGCGGTTGCCCTGCTCGTCGAACTCGATTTTCTTTCCCGTGATGAGGCTCTCCTGGAGGGCGCAGCCGATGCGGACGGCGGCGACGGCGCCCTCGAGGGCCATGGGCGGTGGGATGTCGTCCAGGCAGCACGCGGTGAACTCGTTGGCCTCGGTGACGAAGGCCTCGCGGAAGCGGCCGTAGTAGTCGGGCGGGATCTCGCGCCGGATCCCGCTGGCCTCGTACAGGTTGACCAGGTTGGCCGCCGGCTGCGTGTTGACCGCGATCTTGCCTGCCGTCCCGAAGATCTCCGTCGTGTCTTCCTGCCCCGCCGCCATCATGCGTGAGCAGTACAGCTGCGCTATTCGATCGCCCTGGGGGAACGGTGAGTTTCGACTCCTTGTGGCTGGGGGGGTGTGTGTGTGTGTGTGTGTGTGTGTGTGTGTGAGTGTGAAGAAACTTACGTAGAACTCGAGCACCGCCACCGCGTTGTCTCGGTCATTGTGTTTCCGCAGGTCAGGCTGGACGGCGGTGATACCGATGGCAGATACGCTCTTGACCTTGCTGTCCTCGCCGAAGAACCAGAGGGCCAGGTCGATGTCGTGGATGGAGCAGTCGACGAAGATACCGCCGCTAAACTCGGCGTAGGCGACGAAGAAACCCGAGGGGTCAAGCTTATCGCAAGTCTGTGAACGGAAGACCGAGGGCCTGCCGATGTCGCCGTTGGCCACGCGGCGCCGAGCATCGCGGTAGGAGGCGTCAAATCGCCGGGAAAAGCCGCAGATGACCTTCTGCTGGGGGTACTTCTTCTGGGATTCCCGGTATGCGTCGACGACGGACTGGGAGATCTCGACATTGGTGCTGAGCGGCTTCTCGCACAAGACGTGCAAGCCTTTCTTGATGGCGGCGATAGCCTGGTCGGCGTGAACTGTGGTGGCGCTGGAGACGACGACGGCCTGGAGGGTGGACTCCTTTCCGAGGAGCTCGGAGTAGTCCAGGTACGTCCTTACGCCTGGGAACTCCTTGACCGCCGCGTCCAACTCAGCCTGTACCGGAGAGCTCACCGCTATCAGGTTGGCTCTGGGTGTGAGGTGGGCAAAGTGCCGGGCATGGCGCAGGCCTGAGCGAGGGTCAGTAACGAATTGCAACAGCTTTGTGTTCTGCATCTACACACCCATGCGGCCGAGACCGGCAACAGCCACATTGAGTTTCTCAGATGACATGTTGAGCGGTGAGGAGAAGCTGAACTTGAGCTGGACCTGGGATGCTCTCTGGGGTCAGAAGGAAGGAGGGTGAGTATGGAGTCAAAGGAGCACAGCGATATCACGAGGATGCCCAAAGGGTAGGTAGAGTTTCAGACATCTGGATTTATACCACGGACGCCCGCAGAGTTGGGTGGCTTGTCTAGGGCTCTCCATCCTGCTCGAGGCAATGTGGCCGACGAGTCAGACTGCATGCAACGAATCCATGCACTATTGCTGAGGTCAAAATCTGGAGTTGGCTGATCTCAAGTCCCCCACGGGGCGTGGAAGAGATCCTCCTCCCAACGCCACTAGAGCCGCGGATGGGGGAGGCGCTGGCGATTCCAGCCTCACTGCTCAGGGGAATATGGAGTAGACGGTCCACGCCTCTCACCGCTTCAGGAAGTTCTCGCCGGTAACGGCCATCTGATCTAGAGTTCTGCTAGGCCGGAGATCGCGGGAGGCGGCCCAGGAACGTGGAAAGTGACAGCGTGGTCAAAGGTGGGGCTTCATGGTCGGCTTGGAGGGGTACAGAAGAGCACTGAAAATCCATCACTCGACCTCAGTCAGCATTGCTGCATGAACCAAACAGATACATCAATTTCTTTAATTAGGATTGTGAGTTGTAAGAAAAAAGAGTAGGGGGAAAATTCAGAACAATCCTGCCAGAATGGAGGGTTTCAAATTGGCAAAAAGATAAGCTTCGGTGAATGGGAATTTAACCCAAAGTGCCTTCCCGGATGGGACTCGAACCCACAGCCTTAGGTAGATTCGCAGCATGAGAACCGGAAACCTACACGCTACCATTGCGCCACCGAGAATGAAGCAACCACAATTAGCTAATTGTTGGTTCAATGCCGCGTATTTGCGTCCTATATTCTCAACAGCCTTTTCGTCTCCGGCATTTGGATCAACATACAACAAAGTCATCCCTCTTGGAAGATGCATCACACACGTTCCTCTCCGTTTACCATACAACTATTATTATCAACGTCCTTGCAATCTGCCCGCCCAAGCTGGTCAATATGGATGGCTTTGAAAATTCTTCGCTGTTCCTCCGCGTGCGCTTCCCTGCCTGGCTGAACGGGTGGATGGCCAACGTCGCATGGATACTCCGTGAGAAGTACTTAGGCCCTCCTCGCCATTCGATATCAACAGCAAAGAAACTGCGAGACAGACGCAGGACTGAGTACACAGAACAATCATCTCGAGAGCGCTGCCTGCCTGCCTGCCTATCTATCCCCTTGCATTCCTCGGTCGCACAGGCAATCCATCCATCATCCATCATCCATCTACCTTCTATCTCGCAGCACCGGTGTCTCGCCCGGTCACCCTCTCATCTCCCTCCCAGCCATCATCCCAACTGCCCTCCTACCTCCATCTCCCCTCCTACCTCCCCCTCCCCATCCCCTTCGTCACCGTAGCGTTGTTCGGATCGTCATCGCACATGGCGGCGAGCGTGCAGTGGCAGCCGGCTTCGCACGCGGCGCAGAGCTCGGGGTTCTTCTCCTCCTCCTCGCCGCCGGCGTCGTCGTCGACGAACTCGACCCAGGAGCACGAGCTGCTCTCGCGCCGGCACCACCGGCAGCGGCTCAGGCACGCGTGCGCGTCCAGCGGCGCCGCGCACCCCTCGTCGCAGTACAGCCCGCAGTGGTCGTCGGCGCAGGCGTCGCCGCACGACGGCCAGTCGGCGCGCGCGGCGGCGAGGGCCAGGGCGAGGGTTAGGAGGACGGGGAGCTGGCGCATCATGGTGGTGGTGGTGGTGGTGGTGGTTGTTGTTGTTGTCGGGATGGAAGGCGAGAGCGCTGGTGGATGGGTCCCAGGGAGGTAACTACCTAGGTAGGTACTCGAACGGTCTGATCTTGTGTGCGATGTTCCGCGTCGCGTGGCTATGGCTACCTTTTTAGGTAGTTGGTGGGCGTTGAGGCTCGCGGCGCTGTCGGTGTTCCTCAGAAAGCAGGCAACCCGCGCGCACACAACGTGTTCTTGTACCTAGACGAGGAGGCTCAACCGCGCTGCTTCATTCCCATCAGCGGGACCCGAAGCCTTTTATCGCACGCTTGGCTGCGGCGGAAACACGACGGTTGTTACTTGGCGGGTAACCGCCGGCGACATGTCTTCCGAGTTTCTGTCTTTTAGCCGGCGATCGTCACCGCCCACGTCGTGGTCGCTTGCACGTATGTGGGGTCGGAATCCTTCAGGAAACCAGCAATAGGTGCTGTAAGGGTTGATTGAGGAGAATCTACGAGCGTCGTGGTTCATCGCCAACGTCTGGGGTTCGAATAGCCGGCGCGCTTGCCCTCAGCTCTGTACAGGGGATCGACGACCTCACCTTCGCCTGAGGGGGCGCTGGTGATTCTTGCTCTAAGCGACTTTGATATAGAGATCTGGTGTAAAGATTGTGTGATGACATTGGTTCGAATCCTGATGAGGATGTGGGAGACTGATTACTTATTACGCCCCGACTGAAAACCCCCAAACACAGTCCTCATGGGAACCTACGTCCGTCCAGAAAGCAACAGGCTGGCCCAAGATCCCAATCTAGGAACAGTGCGTGTACATGCCTAGCGACCTCGCTTGGCTATTCAGCCTTCTCGGTCCAATCACCTTGGAGACCAACATCATTCAGCTAGCTTTGTAACCTTTTCTCCCTTTGTCTGTTCCTCGCTTCGCTGGATATCGTCTGCCCCCGGCGACTGATCGCCGACCTCGCTATCCCGCAACATCACCTTCGCTAAAGAGAGACTGTACGCCTGATATTGTGGGGAGGGTGTTCCTAGTGCTGGAGAGGTCGAAGTGGATGCCTCCATCTCATGATAAACGATCGCTGAATCGGCGGGTAGCTCTGATTTGGTGTATCGCCAATCTTCTTGGGAGATTGGAGTCTTTTGCTCTTGGTCTTGTCCTTGCTCTTGTTGCTGGAAGGGTATCTCTTCGACTGCAGGTTCTCGTTTCCGGCGGTGTCGAATACCCAGGAGGATAACACATACAGCTAGCAGAGCAGCTAGCACCGAGCCCACTCCTATCCCAGCTTTAGCACCTGTGGACAATCCAGAGCTGCTTGCCGCTAACGCCTCTACAGCTGGCGACGAAGCGCCCGGAGAAGCCACTGCGGTTTCCTGTGTCGTGGAGGACAGTCTGGTGGTTGGGAGTGTCGGGGTTTGCCCAGGATAGAAGGAGATCGAAGCGCCGGTACTGGAAGGGAGAAGAGCGACATTCGTGAGGGTAGCCGCATCTCTGAAGATCCCGTCGCCGGTACATTGACAGTCTTTCTGATCTGCCGGCTCAAGCTGGCTGGTATCGTCGGATCCTTGGCAGCCCTCCCATAGACTGTCTTCCGGATCATCGGTGCAGCGGGTAAGTCCAACCACCTGCTGGTCGTCGAAAACCCCTTTCAGCGGACATGCGGTGGCGCTGTAGCCTGGGTCGGTGCATCCGATGAGGTAAGTAGTACCATCTATCGAGAGGATGTCAATTTTGGATACTTGTAAAGGATAGTCAAAAGAGGTAGGGTCTATACACTTGTCGTTATAGCATGCATTGCTCGACAGGCAAGTGTCCCCCGCCTGACAGCAAGCATAATCGACGATGTGACCAGCAGCGTTGCCACATGGAATGAAATTGTCTGCGGTTGGGGAGTTGCGTGCCCAATAACAAGACCCATTGGAAACGTGTAGGTTGACGTCGTCCATGGCCAAGGTAAGCTGTAGGCGGGACCCGCGTTCTGAAGTCGGAGAGGGCAACTGCTGAGGGCGGAGGTATGAGTTGAGGGGGATCTCGGGAGCACAGAGACAGCTTCCCGTCAGTAGTGACCACACGACGAGGTTCCCTAATCTTCCGCGCCGTTGGTCACACCCTGGCCTAGCATTCGGGAACGTACTGATGTTTCGTACTGTCCTCGGAGCTGCCTTCACCTTCGTCCAATGGCGACTACCAATTCGCGGCGCACCGCCGTTCTCGTGCATCGCCTGTGCAGCGCATGGCAAAGCTCGAGGTAGGCAGGATGCAATTTACCTATACCTCAGCGACACGGCCGAGAAGTGACGAGATGCAGCCTCCGTGTGCAACGCGCGTGAATGGTTTCCGTGATCGAGGTAAAGATCGGATCCGAGACCCCTCCGCATTTGCGACTTGAGATGAGCGCGTACCCGGTTTGTGTAAGGAGGCCAAAGTGAGGCTGGGAAGCCAAATGAAGGATGAGCTGAAAAGCGCCACAATGCTCATCAATCTGCACCAACATCCAACATCCCCGGGCAACAACATCCGATACGCCCTAGAATAGGGACACTGTCAAGACTGTGTTTCACCTATGTGCCGTGATAAGAGCTGAATGTGAGGCTTTCCACACTCTGATAATAGACAAGGTACCAGACAGATCTTGGTCATGAAGCACGTGCCTTGGAAATGCTGACCTGCAACGTCCGCACTCCATCGGAAGGTCAGCTCCGGCAGCTCAGCTCCCCTGCAGAATCACTGGCAATCAGAGCAACGAAGCACCCGGGGCAGGAACAGAGACACCCAACTTTGATGGGCTATAGACACTTGCAAAAGTAAGTGATTCCTTGAGGTCCGCGTTCCGGGTAGAGCTCAGTGGTGACGATGCAATGATTACCCCACATCCTATTGGTGAACGTTCTCGCTGGGAAATGATCATGATGATGGGATATTTACCCCAGCCGTTTACTGCCCTGACGGTGAGCCATGACACTAATGACTTTGCTTCGATTGGTGCATTCATAGAGCCATATGTGTGCAGGAGCAATGCTCCTTTGGTCTTGCCGTGCGAAGAGGCCCTGCGACGGAAGGTGACGGATTTCCACGTCATGAACATCAGTGCGACTCACCTCGACCATTAAAAGATGCAAACAGACACCACATCACTTCCTATCCTTTCCCCCATCGCAGAGGGATACCTACAAGGCCTTGAAGTAGTCTTCGCCGAACTCGTCACAGAGCACCCTTCCTAAAGATGCAGACCACCAAGCTACTTCCACTGAGATCAGCCGTGCGCAGTTCTATCACCACAAGAGCACAGCTCATCCCATTCACCCTTCGTAGATCCTTCCAGAGCACCCCGGCAGCCATGGGCAAGCTGGCAGACGCCATCACTCACGACCACCGCGAGTTGGAGGACTACTACGAAAAGATGGTCAAGACCACAGACCCCGACGAGCGTGAGCGATGGCAGAACCAGTTCGTCTGGGAACTCGCCCGCCACTCACTGAGCGAAGAGATCGTCGTCTATCCCCTCATGGAGAAGAACCTACCACAGGGACTGGAGATGGCAGACAAGGACCGCGCTGATCACCGCATCGTACGTTCTATCCAACCCGACCACCATGTCAAGCAACATTCGGTTACTGACTCACTCCCCAGGTCAAGTCGCAACTGAAGATATTCCAAAAGCTCAAGGCCAGCGACCCGGACTTCATGCCGACCCTGCACAAGCTCATGTCGGACCTCAAGGAGCACATCAAGGAGGAGGAGAAGGATGACCTGCCCGCGCTGGAGAGGACACTGAGCGACAGCGACCAGGAGGGCACGGCAAGCAGCTTTGAGCGTACCAAAATGCTCGTCCCGACCCGAAGCCATCCCAGTACACCTGAGAAGCCGCCGTTCGAGACCGCTGTCGGTCTGATGATGGCTCCGATCGACAAGGTGATGGATGTCTTCCGCAAGTTCCCTCAGAAGTAGCAACCTGGACTGGAGTCTGAGAGGAAGGGACGGTGGGGTGAAAAGGGGCGATGTTCACCTGGTCTTGGGATTGTTAGGTAGGTATTACCCGCGGTGGATTCCTTCGTTCTTGTCGGGTCTGATATTT